TCGGGCATTGCCACTTGTTTGGCGTCGTCGGGCGTTGCCACTTGTTCGGCGTTGTCGGGCGTTGCCACTTGTTCGGCGTTGTCGGGCGTCACCAGGTGACGTTGCCTTGTCGTTGGCCAACATCAAGTATTGTGAAGCGTGGCAGCCCATCGTCAGCTTAACATGTTTACAGGACGCGAATCGTTCAATTCGTCGATCAAGAATTTAACGAAATAAATCGAAACGATTGGCGTAGATTGGAAATACGCGGTTCTGACGCTTGCATTGAGATAGGAGTAACGATTCTGCGGCCGCATATTTTCACGTGAGCAGCATTGCCTGCTCGCGGTATAGTCAACACATAACGGTATGCACGCACGCCGTTGCACGCTAACATAGCAAAGTTCACGGTTGCTGACGAATTTCTGTGGAAGTGCCTTTCAGCTGTACTCGTGAGAGCAGTAATAACGAGGTGAATTAGTCGTAAAAATCTGGCACGCGGTGAGTAGCCCCCCTCCCCCCCAAGAAATGCATTGTTTAGTCCCAGTAACAGGGACGGAGATGTGTTGTTCAGAGCAAACGTCGTGAGAGCGTTTTGTTCCTCCCATGGTTGTGGCTCTGAAGAAGACAAGAACGTGAAATTGACGCCGCTGCCGCACTGCGTTTTGTATTTCGGGTGAGGTATTTTTACGCGTGGGTGTGACTTTTGCAGCCCCACAGGGTGTCGGATATCAGTGTTTCTGTAGACTGTGTTGCCAGGGAAACTAGGGTGAATAATTTGCGTGTACATACTGGTGGTTTCACATTTTCTGTATAAGATGAGAGAGTGTTTTTGATTGTTTCTAGTCCAATGGCAAGTGATAATTTAATCGGGCTGGCCATTCTCCACACCTGCCCCCAACGCTGTCTTAGTGATTGATTGATGACACTTCATCTTGTGTTAGTCAACTTGCGTTGCTAGTGAACTATTATTATAACCTGTCTAGGTTACAGGTATTATATTTTGGTCCCATATTGGGGATTTTAGGCTAACTGTGTGCGTGCTGCATAGGTGTGTACAATAATATTAGTTTGGAGTCTTAACGCCAAGGTGGCATATCAACGTGCTATGGTATCGTGAAGCGATGAGTTTGGCATGCGGCCCTCTTCTGCTTTCCTTTCCCAGAACGTTTTACCTTTTCTCTGAACTTTACCCAGAAACTACGATAGAGTCTGTATTGATATGGTGAAATAGTTAATAGTACGTTTAAATAGACTTGGAAGTCTCGTTTGGATAGGAGCTGCGTGGCAATTCTTTGTTAATGCAGATTTCATTTACTACAGCAATTACTGAGTATGGGGCAGAGCGCACATGAATACCATATGGTTTCGCCTATGACAATCTGTTACTCTGAAGCTGTGCTTTTCACGCTGACGTTGTACATGGTTTTGTACATTTGCGCAATTGTTCGATATATGCTTCCATGGTTTCTTCTTCAACGTTTGGAATGGTTTAGCGTATTAATACGGCACAGACTTATAGTATCACTCTGCCAGCAGAGTTATTTGGAGACTTGATCCAAAAGGTGGCAGCACTATTGTGTGCGGTATTGAATCAAACGCGTAAAAATGTTAATATGATCACAGTGTGCTTTCGCTCCTGAAGCTAAAACCTGAATTGTTACACTTCTTTAAGAACAAGAGTTCATTATCCAGCAGCGAACCTACCAACGCTAATAGAACCCCCATTCCCCAGTTATCGTGTTTGGTTTGTTCTTATATAAACAAGTTTGAAAGTGTGTAATGTAGATTTTCGTGGCCAAGTAGAGACTTTGTTATCTTCTAGACTACTGTTATTACATTTCTCGCGATTGTCAAATTTCTGTAGTTTTTGTGCCATAGTACCTTCGTGTACGTATAGGTTTATACCTACGTAACGCCTCCCGACGTTTTGCTCATTATATAATGATTATGCATGCACACAGTGTGCGGTACGTTTTAATAGGCTGTTGTACAGTAACTCAACATCGGCTCAGCTGTCGGAAAGCCAGTTTCATTACAGGTAATCGAGGTATTGGTGTATAGGTCACTTGTAGCAAGATGATACGTTCATATGTCGGGCTGCGTTGAAAGCATTGGCGATATGAACTTAGGGTAAGCAAGAGCTGTTACGGGAGGGAGTACACGATCGGGATGTAAGCGTATGTGTGTCTGTTTGTTCGTTTTCCGTGCAGGTTTGGGAGTGGTTACAGACTGTGGCATTTACCAGATACGCGCAGAATTGACGAAAGTATGTGCTTTGATTGTAAAATGGCATGTGCACTTACGTTATTATATTAACATAAACAGTCGGCCTGTGCTATTTCTACAAAAAACAACGTTTCGAAGAGAGGGGTCAGTTTGTGCCCCTATGCACGTACGTGCCTGCGTGCGCATGCGCGCATGTGTGTACGTATGTGCGTGTGCTTGTGTGTATATATGTATGTGTACGTGCGTGTGTGAGAGAGGAATGTTTCCCGGCTCAGGATTGCCTAATACTACTATAACTACTTGTACAAAAGCGTTCTCTGCTCGGATAGGAAAATTATTCATGAGTAGCGTTTTGTTGGTAGCGTAATGTATTGCTTATATCAGGAGCTAATAATGACAAATTAAATTTAATTTGTCATTATTAGCTCCTGCTTATATATATATAACAACCGTATGTACAGATATCTACTCGCGTGAAAATAAGGGGTTGCTTCGTCGCCGACAAGTCTGCCAGCGATCTCTGAAGTTGTGAAACGTTTTGCACGACATGGATAGCGGTAAAATAACTAGTGGCGAAACAACTGTTGGTGTGCATACAGCCAGGATACAACAATGCCCCCACCCCGCGTATATCGCCAGTCACAATAGGATTTTGTCAGAGGTGTATAATATAGAGAGTCCATATGTATAGAGTGTCTATAGAGTAGAGTGTCTATATTATACACTCCTGCTTTTACCATGACATGCAATCACTCATTTATTTATTTTGAGACAATCTATTGAAGCGATTGACAAGGTACGCACATGGCCTCATGTGTTTACTCGCGCACACTTGCTTATAAATCGTGTGCATCGGGCCAATTACGTTGGATTAGGAATCCTTCGGCACTACGCCTGGTTGCGCATCTGTCGGGAGCTTGTATGTTCTTGTGAAGCACCAGTGTGCGTAAGCATCAAGAGTGCATAAGCATGCATGTGCGCGCGCGTTGACCACTCACGCGTAGCGTAAAGCCTTCTGAAACGTTTGCCGGTTAAGGAAATAACGTGTAGGGGAGGAGAGTTGTCATAACAACGAACCCGCTCCAGCATCGTATCACTTTCACTTGTCGCGTCTGTTCTGCGGACGAGTACACGGATCAATTAGTTTCCGGTTGCATGTTATTGCCATAGTCACGCGCAGGTTAGCTTGTTTCAAGCTGAAAGCGGCGTGAGGGTGTTTACTATATCGTATAATACAGGCGTGCTGTATATAACGAGCTGTTATTATCAACAATTCTTACCGATAATGCTCTACCTGAAAAGTGCTGCAACGCGAATGAAAGTACAATGTGCGTTTTGTTTCAGAAACGACGGCTGCAGTCGTTAAGCGTACGTCTTGGTAGTCTATTATCTACTGTATATCAGAATGTGCTTGTTGAATGCGTGTACAAAGATTTATACTTTTAAGTTGGTTTAACCTTGGCGTTCTATAATATAATATTTTGAGAACTTGCCCACTTACGGTGGAGTGGGGTCCCTCTCTACTCATACTGCATTGGATGTACCTGTCTATATGATTGTGTACAAAATAAATTATTAAAGTGAAATTAAAATATGCCGCGTTGAACATTTAAATGGCAATTAATAACTGACATTTCCTACCATTGTCGGTAAAAAAATTTAACTTCACTTGGTATCAAACCCTATTTTCCCCTATATTATGAGGAGTGTCATAATATAGACTCATATATCGACTATATTACGACACTCCTGATCTTATGTATGCATCATCCTTGGCGATAAATATTGCTACCGTACTGACTTGCAGGGGCGTAGCCAGGATTTTAAAAGTTGTAGGCACGACTATCTGAGCGGAGCGCGACCATCGGTTGGCGCGGAGCGTACAAGAAAATGTTTGGTTTTACAAACCCCCCAGATGGCCGAAAACGGCCCTTCCCGAGTGTTCATTCTGGTTCCCTGGCCTCTTGCTAACTTGAGACACCTCATTCAATATCACTTTTAAACCCAAAAAACAAACGAGTTAAAATAGTGTTACGAACGAGTTAAAATGTTAAAAAACTGACAAGATCGGATCCTAGTCTTTTTCGGCGGGCAGAGTGTTGAATGAAACGGACGGCACGTGATAGAAATTACAGCCTAGATGACAGAAGAATAGGTCACCTAATTTAGCCATATTCTTGCTACGTTCATTTCAATAGTTTTTCCTGTCTAGACTCTTAAATTCGTCCAGCAAGCTTATGGATTTGAATTATGGGTGTTTAAAAAAAAAAGATAACTTGGCCAAAAAAAGTGTAGGCCCGGGCCTACAGTGCTACATACTGGCTACGCCCCTGACTTGGGACTAGTTCTGATCATGCAATCTAGGCATGCAATGCAATACAGCGGCGTTCTGAGCTAACTCATAACGATGCAGTCATAAAGATCGATAACATCATCATAAAGATCATAAAGATCATGAAGATCATGCATGTTCTAAACGCCTCGTGCTACCCTGTCTCTGTGCTGTCCTCGTTAGGAATGATCACGGTAGTTGACTGCCGTGTTCAGACTAGTATTAGTGTTGGCGACAAATCCGTTTATCGGGTTTTATCCCATCTAGGTCATGGCGTCTCTGTGGACATGCCAGGTAAACAAACATCAGTACTGAGTTTCCTCAGTATTTTATTTACTTTGATATTATCAGTAAAATATACATTTTATCAAAATTTCAGGGTGAGATGATTCTAGTGCTGTAGTTGTCAGTGGCGGATCCGGGAGGGGGGGCACACAGGTGACAGTCGCCCCCCTAGAATTTTCAGGGCAAGGGTATTTTAGCCTATAGGTAAGTCTGCACTGGTAACGCCAGTGAGGACATGTACATATAGATGACATATGTATGTGACATGTACATGACATGTACATGTAATAGCACAGATTTAGTAGTAAGTATTTTAGTCTTTGGTGTCCCCAAAGATAAAAAATACTCAACTCAGCAGTGGTATTATTGTGATGAAGATTGTTTAATAATGCTGCCTTAGAGTGCAGGAAATTGCATCTAAGAGCTAGGTGTAATTTCCAACAAAATTGTTGGAAGGAGGTCTCCCGGCCCCCCCCCCCCTAAACAGGAGGGAGGAACCCCCCTGAAGGAGGAAAAATCTCGTGATATGTTATGATAAAGATGTCCAAAATTGATTGCTTTTAGATTGCAACTTTTTAACAATTCCACACAATGAGAGGGGACCCTCCCCCCCCCAACACCCCTCGGTCGCTTCGTGCCCTTGAGCTCGCATGTTTCGCCCCCCACCTAGAATTCACTTCTGAATCCGCCACTGCTTGTGTATGTGGGAGGGAGGTTGGGTGTTATTTAACCGCTGGGATCCAAAGAAAAAAATAACCCTAGAATTCACAAATATTGCACTTACAATTTCCTTTTTTTTCAATTCCCTCAAAAACGGCCATCTTGAAGGTTCTAAATTGCTAAAAATCCAAGAGCTTCCAGGGGCTCCGCCCCCTGGACCTCGGGCAAGGGCTCGCCCCCTGCACCCCGTCAGGGGCCCTAGGGCGGGCTCCTGGACCCCACCCGTTAAGGGCTTTTCGCCAAGGCGCTCGCGGTGGGCGCTACGCGCACACACTGTGATAGAAGTAACAGCGAAATCATCCCCCACAACTGAGGACCTGTCTACGCCACTGGTTGCAGAGGAGCATTTGAACGTCATTTACAGGAAGTTATCGGCAATAATCGGCGAAAGAAAGTAGAGAAACATTAAGACTTTGGTAGCAAATACATTTCGTGTTTATTTACCATATTTATTTTATTGAAACGTTCCAAGTGTCTGTGCATAGATGGTCTGTGCTTGCACGTGCACTTGCAAGCGCGTCTGCGCTTGCGCATAATTTCATCCGTTACTATTCCGTACATTAATTGCTGCGATGACGGCTGCTGGAATGGCGGCGCTCCCGTCGAAGCGTACATTGTTGTTGCATTTTTGTAAAACTTCACTCGATATGGAACGCGTTACATCAAAATATGTTGGTACGTACAACTATAAGGTCGTTATGCATTGCATACGAACTGTTCTTGCTGCTGTAAGTATATATTAGGTTGACCGATACAGGTTGATTAGCTACGTTATAAAAATCGTCTACGGTCAAGATTCGAAGATGTTTGTTTATTTGTGCATACGACATAGGCCTACATACATCTAGCTCTAGTACTATAGCCGCTTACATTAACTGCCGCTGGCAGGCCAGGCAGGCCAGCGGCAGTTAATGTAAGCGGCTATAGTACTAGAGCTAACATACATCAAGAGCTCATAATAATTAATAGAGATCTATGCATCTCTATTATGAGCTCTTGATACATACATAAACTGATGAATGACAGGTCACAATACATGATTTTACAGATGAAGCACGGGAGTGGCGAAGGACCCGAAGGTCATCAAAGTCTGCCACCCCTGAAAAGATTAGTTAGTTCATAGACAGGCAGTTGAATCATGACTCGAGTTTAATTAGGTTATTGATTGAAACAAATCCAGCCAGGCATACAAGTATCAATATTTCGACATGAAATGAAATTAATCCAACACTCATTCCGTAAATTCAGTTATTTTAACAACCTATAAATAAACGTTAATACAGTATTGACAAGTAAGACAACGATACTCAAAATGTATATCATATACCTACTCATATACAGTAGTAGTACTAGCTCTAGTACTATAGGTGGGGGCGGACATCCGGGAACTTTTGACTATTTGACCGGATGTAGATTCGAGCCGGTGAAAACAAACCGTAGTAACGCACCGCTCAATGCACGCAGCGCATAGTGCCAAGGAATTATGTGGTGTTTGGATGCCGCAATCAGTCTTTCAAGTGACAAAAAACGATCATTCTTTGAGCTGCCGTAGCCCGAGAGGAAAGACAGATGGCTAACAGCAATTAATCACGAGAACGAAGACGGCGTAGCAATGTTGAAAAACAGTGGGAAACGGGCGAGTAGTCTCGCTGAAAGGCAGTTTTTTGCACACTTCCTGTGAAGTCACATAATGTTTCTCGGTCAAAATGAACAAAGAATACCTTCAAGAACACCCCTGTCGAGTTTAAAAGGGGCTACCCCCACATTTACGGAAATGACATAGGTCTCAATCACTATGTTGCGTCTAGAATTCTCCCAGTCGTTCGTTGTTCAAATCGTGTTGTTCAATCGTCTCGTGATGTTATTCTATATATTTCTCTTTCTCTCTCTATCTCGCGCTGCTCGTCTCTTCTCCTCTCTGGTCCTCTATCTCTCGCTCTCTGTCTTTCTCTCTCTCTCCTCTCTCTCTCTCTGTCGCTATCTTCTCTCATCCTCCGCTCGCTGTCGTCTAATCTCTCTCTCTCACTCTCTCCCTCATCCCTCATCTCTCTCTCTCTCTCTGTCTCTATCTCTCTCTCTCACTCTCCCTTTGTCGCTCTCTCCCTCCATCTCTCTCTCTTTCTCACTCTCTTGTTCTGTCTCTATCTCTTTCTCTCTCACTCTCTCCCTCTGTATCTCTCTCCCATCTCTCTCTCCCTCTCTTCGTCCTTCTCTCACTCTCCCTCCATCTCTCTCTCTCTCTCACTCTCGGTCTCCATCTCTATCCCTCCATCTCTCTCTCTCTCCTTCCATCTCTCTCTTCTCTGCTTTCCAATCTCTCTCTCTCTCTCTCTCTCTCTCTCTCTCTCTCTCTTCCTCCGTCTCTCTCTCTCGCACACTCTCTCTCCCTTCATCTCTCTCCCTCTCTCTCCCTTCATCTCTCTCTCTCCCTCTCTCTCTCTCTCTTACATAATCTCTCTCTCTCCCTCCATCTCTCTTTCTCTCTCTCTCTCTATCTCTCTCTCTCTCTTTTCTCTCTCTCTCTCTCTCTCTCTCTCTCTCTCTCTCTCTCTCTCTTCTCTCTCTCTTACATAATATCTCTCTCTCCGCGTGTTCCCCACAGTCGAGGACGTCACGCGTAACTTCTCATCTCGGACAACGGCCGGGGTCAGCCCTATAGACGCGAAGTCGCGATAAGCACGCGAGTATCCTGAAAAGGCACCTATAGACGCGAAGGTTCTCGATAGACCCGAAGATTTCATAAATCATTAGTGAAATACTGTACTTAATTTGGTGACAAACACGCACACGCACACGCACACGAGCGCAGACGCGCACGCGCACGCCACGACGGGCACAGTCGCACCCCACCACACACACACATCACACACACACACACACAGACACGCACAGGAGGAAAGGGAGAAGGGAGAAGCTGGTGGAGAATGAGGAGAGGGAGAAGATGGTGGAGAAGGAGGAGGAGAGAAGCTGGTGGAGAAGGAGGAAGGGGAGAAGCTGGTGAGAAGGAGGAAGGGGAGAAAAGGAGAAAGCTGATAGGAAAAGGAGAAGGGGAGAAAAGAGAAGCGCCGTGCTGCGGCGGCATTTCAATTGACTGTACAGGGGGCTGGTTGGCAGATTCTCCCTTCTCCACACTTCATTCTCCACCAGCTTTCTCCTTCTCCCTCCTACATTCTCCATCAGCTTTCTCTTTCTCCCTTCCTCCTTCCCACCAGCTTCTCCCCTCCTCATTCGCCCACCAGCTCTCCTTCTCCCGCTCCTCCACCAGCTCCTTCTCCCCTTCCTCATTCTGCCACCAGCTTATCTTCCCCTCCATCCTCCAACCACCCATAGCCTTCG